CATCAATCCCTCATCTAGGGCTGCATATTGATATATACGCACCACTTGGGAACACAGGCATCAAGCGCACGAACGTTGAAGGGTGAGGAACCCCGCCATCACTAATTTAGCCGGACAGCGAGAAACGCCGGACTAGTCGAGGGAGCCAATTTACATTTCAAGCGCCGAGCACGAGCATGGGCAGCTGCAGCATTTGCAGAGACTGATCGTGTCCTGAATATATTCTTTGCGTGCGCAGTCTAGGTAAGCATTGGCGCTTCCCTTGCTTTGTCTTTGCCACATACAACCGCATTTGAGCGTTCATACATCAATGCATGGCAACCTTGGTGGGTTTAACTAGTGTTTGCGACGTGATCTATCACGATTCGACCAATTCACGTTCCTGCGGTTTCCCTCAATTGTACATGCCAAATCAATCACTTGAATATGGATGCAGCTAATGCGACTGGCGCAAGCCTCCCCATAGACACCGAGTCATTGGTTTTTTGGATGGCTTCCTCCGAGGTAGACCAGAAGGCCTTGGGCAACTTTGCGGCCACAACAAGCCTGGAGAATCCATTTCTGTCCGCTATGCTCTACAAGTTACTGGGCTTGTCGGTCATGCTTTCCAAGAAATTGCTCCGTGCACGACGCTTACGACGTCTCGATCCGACCCGTGAAACCAAGTCACTTCAGCTCTACTACCATATCATATGGCTTGCTCGCGAAGGTCTCCTCATTTTAGAGCAATGCGTTCTTCCGCGTGTACAGGTGTATGTGGAACTGAATATTCTCGCTTTTAAGCTGAGGGCTTCTTTCTACCATATTTTTGTATTGTTTCATAACCAACCTGCCATTCATGCACCGGGTATCGACAATCTGCCGAACAATGCAACCTTCTCCAACAGCACTGCAAAAGCAGATCTGGCAAACAAGCCTCCAGAATTGAGGTACTCGTTCCAGCCAAGACCCGAAACGATTTCGGTCTCCGATGCATCGGCCGCAGCCCCAGACAATGCGCTGCGGCGCAGAGTCACACGGGCTCCTCCAGGCCTTGCTCCAATTCAGCCGCCCAAGTCAATGTCGGCTTTCCTCCTACCAGCGATTGATTACACCAAGACGGCTACGCAATGCTTCGACTATGCGGTACTGTTGGCGGAACGCGTTCTTCCGGGTTCGCATCCTCTGCGGCTATCGATCAAGCTCGAGTATGCCGCCTACCTCTATGACTGCCTCCATGACCCACTTGCCTGTCGACGAGTAGCGAAAAAGGCCATCGCGGATGTGTACAATGCGAAGGAGGGTATGGATGATGAGAGTTTTGAGGATGCCGCGGAGATCGTTGGGATACTAGGCAAGATGGTCAAACGTGTAAGGAAGGCGAGTACAGCAGGCAGTACGACTGTCGCTGAGACACCCAGAGATGAACAGTCCCGAAGCGACGGATCCCGCACGCCGTCTTCTCGAACGACAGCCTTCTCTAGAGCCGCACCTTCAGTGAAACCGACGAGCACTGAATCCCTGCCGCCTGCCGTGCCTGATCCGACAATGGTCAACCCTATTTGATCTCTGTTCTGATAAACTTGGACCTCTCCGTTCTTGTTGTATACGTACTCATGATCTGTATATACTTGTTCCATGTTTTGGTTTAGATTCGATCGGTACTGGGGAGGCTTATCTGCTGTTACGCTGCGTTATTTTTATTTTTATTTTTATTTTCATTCCTTGTCTATAGGTCCACTGAGTGTTGTGTATGAAGCAAATGATCTCGGGATGAATCTGCAGTGGATAACCATGGCAGTACAGAGCACGTACGGAGTAACTCAGGGTGGCAGCTTCAAGCGACAGCAGAAATCCTGCCTGAGGCGACCAGACCCCTTAAAGTTTGCGGGTGTTTGCACTTCCAGTCGTGACGTCCGAATTTCTCCTCCATACGACGGACGACCTCCAAAATGTCTGCCTGGAGCAATTGCCCGTTCCCTCACCAATTTTAACGGCGTTATCATTCCTCAGAAGAACCCAAGATGTCAGTCCTTTCAGCGTCACGTATCAATTAGTTGCAAGTCCAAACCGGTAATGACATCTTCCAAAGCACTTTCAAGCACAGACAAGATCATGGACCCTCGCTTACGTTAGGTACGACAGCCCCTCTCTCATAGTCCGACTTGGCAACATCCGCTTGCGAACCCGACGAGCTCGATTTTACGTTACGACCCGGTGGTCTTCTACGTCATTGCGTTGCTTGACTCCTGCACCTCCGGGAGTCTGAGGAAGACCTGTGGAAGTGACCGGACGGCCCTTTGTTGGCGAGTTCGCAAGTCAAACCCTCTCCTCCTTGTTCTTCTCCCCTGCAGCAGCGGTGTTTGTGCTTCGGTCGTTGCTTCGGAGGCTTCAATCTCAGGACGCGCGCTTCGCTCACCGACCGTCCGACCGCCCCGATTGATCGACAGTATCCATCGCCCAAGAAACGAAGAGGGGAAAACCAGCATCCCATCAATACGCCGTCAACCGCGCAAGACCCTGAGACCCGCAGAGGATTCCAATTTAGACGCAAGTCCGCCAGAGAAAAGACGACTCAGAAACCACCTACGAGGTCACACTCCATATACTTAATTGAATGTACCGCCCGGACCTTGCGCTAGAATTGTGAATCAGTCCATCTGATAATTATTTTTTTTTCTCGTCGCTTCTGGTCCTATCCGTCTCTTTTCTCCTTCGGCGATGAAGCTGCCGGATTGCGAAATTACCAAATCACGCAAGATTCCCACCGACTATACTATCAGACATCGCGTCTTCGTGGATAGAGAAAGTCAGGCCTGCGCCCACAGGCCGCCGAGTTGTGTATGATGCGGTCGGGTCTCCAGAAACCTGGGGCTATTCCGTTTCTCGCTCTCTTGATCTTTTCGTTGCTGAGCCTGGTACCGTCATTGGCGAAGGAATGGGACTATCTTCTGCCTTTCGGGCACATTGGATATCTCCGCAGTGAACCTCGATGTATGAGCGTGCCCTTCCTCTTTTCGCTTCATCGCTTGTCGCAGTATTCAGACTAATGTCTTCCGATTGGATTCTTGCAGATGTTTCCCGGGATAAGGCTGGCTTGGTCGATGCGCGACCACGATTACGAATGGTGGGTGGACAACCAAGGCCGTGGTCATTGGAGGAAGATCGTTCGACGTACCTCGATCGGAAATCCCGGCCACGGCGTCCGCTCACGGATGCGCCTCCCCGGAGCTCATTTGAAGCGGCGGCGATCCTCGATAGTGATCCAGTGACATATACAGTTCAAGAGTCGTCGGCCTTCAGGCGCGGTGTACGTGCCTTCAAGGCATTGGTCACCCGGCAAACAGACGACCCGCAAGCCGTTCCTTCCTTTCCTTCTGACAGCGACGCCCCTGTAACGGATCAAACATCACCGCGCCTTGGTCCGCACCATGCAAACACCTCAGTCTATCTGACGCCTCCGCACAACGAGGATTTTCACCTATTGGCATCCGGTAATGAAGGAGGAGGGCGTACGATGCTGGACACGACAAAACTTGTTGAATTGCCCAGGTGGTTCTTATCATGTGTTCTGACCTCATGGCAGCAGGCCTGCCGTGTTGGTAACGACTATATAGAAACCGTCATAGGCTGCCAGGGGCTCCGAAATACCGCCGCAACAACATCTTCTAATTGCTCGGAAGTGATGAACTCGGATGGTTCCCCTCAGCCTTGGGATCCGCGGAACGAATCTCAAACGAAACATGCCGTGCCCCCAGCATTGGCAGCAGACGAGACCCAGCGGCAGGATTTTGCGCAAAAGCCATCTGCACTAACCCAAACAATCGATGCGTCCGTGCAGGCCACTGCCCCTCCGACCGCGACGTTGACTACTACGGAGCAGTCCAAGGTTGTTGAACATCAAGCTGAACCGGAGCGAGTGCGCAGTGGCAGCTGTATGGCCATTGTGCTTGCAATAGTCGCTGGCGTCATGTGGTTTTAGTTCTGCTGGTACGTTTGCGATTAGTTCACCGTGGTTGGCAGTCAGCTCCCGTCATCGTGGACTCGGACGCATGAGTTCTAGATTTCGAAACGAGAAATGCCAACCTCTTCGCAATTTGGCATTGTGCACCCTTACCCTCCGCCATGAATGTCTGCCTCTGGTTTCATTTCTTTTTTGCCGGCTGGGTCCGGCTCATGATTTTCTTTTCAGAGTAGCTCCTTTTGAGCTTTATAATGCCTGATGTAATTCTTTTGACGTGTACATTGCTTTCTTGATGGGCTCTATTGGATGCGGTTTGGGGTCTGTCATGTTGGGTTTCATGGATATACACTCGTTCTGTTCACGTTCTGTTCACAGGGGGAATGGCTGCACAGAATGGTCTGTCTTTCTGCGAATGGGACAGATTGTACCTAGCTCTTGGGGTAACTAGAGCCTGGCTGCTTTGGTCTCTCGGTGTCGGAGAGGTAAGTCATCAGCCCATAGTGATAATATATATAGTAATGTCTGTTATCTGGGGGGTTCATGTCTTCTATAGAAGATGTGTATGGTGTGAAATCCAGGCGCGCCACATGGAATGGCCGTTCGTCTTATACCTGGCTAGCTCCTGCGGACAATTGGAAGAATGGAGCAAGCCGGTATCTGGGGTCCAGATCCTGAAGGCTTTATGGCATTTTAGCTGTAGTCCAGCAGGTCCAGGACCTACGTAGTTACGACATGTACATACCAACTCCCGGACCGCCGCGTTCCAGTCGTCCCAGTCCCCCTTTCCTCCGCATTCCACTCACCTTGTCTGTTTCTACCTTGGAGATATGGGTACGTAATAAATAGAAACCTCCTACCGACATCACAAAGAATGCGTCTCCCCTTTTCCCCTCATTCCCCACGAAACCAACCAGCTCAAAACGTCTACATAACCAACGACCTTCCCCCAAGCCCCGATGTAGTTCGAACAACACAACCCAACCAAACCGTTCTCCACAAAATCACACAAGAACCCCCCTTCAACCCAACCTCTTCCCGGTTTATTCCCCACCCAAAAATGAAACCAACAACAACCCTCCTCCTCACCGGCCTCCTAGCCCTCGCCACCGGCACCCTCGCCGACAAAACCTGCACCCCGAGTTTCGATTACTGCGCTAATAAGCTGTTGAGTTCGAAGGGTGAGTTCTCTCCTCTCTGCCACTGCGATTGAGGGGGCGCTTGGTTTCTGTATGCTTGTGGTTCTTTCCCCCGGGAGGCGGTTCTGTTCGTGGGCGGGAACCACAAGAGGGGGAATGAAAAGCTGTGGTGTACAGTGCAAGATTCATGATGCTGACGCTCTGGGTGGGTGCAGGATTCACGGAGAATGACCTCAAGACGGCACTGCAGGGGACCGGGCTGGAGAATGACGATCTAGCGGATATCTTGTTCCATTGCAAGAATCCGGGGGATGTGGGGCATGCGCAGCTGTGTGCGGGGGGTTGTAAGGATCCGGCGACGGAGGGGAGTCATGGGTGTTCTGGTTAGAGTCTTTGTGTTGAGGAAAGTGGGGTGATGGGTGGAGGATGGGAGTGTGAGGGTTGGGTGTATATGGTTGGGCTTGTGGTCGTGGTGGTAGTGTTGCTATGTGATACGGAGAATATATTGTTCTATTTCGGGTGGTGTCATGAGGTGAGATTGAGAGACTCTTGTTGCTTTTGCTGAATGCTATCGTATAAGCTTTACTTGCAGGGTGATATACCAATTGAGCTAGAGGTTGTAGGGCTCCTGAGGCTGAAGAGAAGACCGCTGACCAGGGTGCGAGTATACCAGATTGCACTACCCTGTCAGGCAAGGCACCTGAAATTTTCATTCTGAATGTTGGGGTCGGGCCGTATCGATGTTTAAGTCTCATATTTGACATTCGAATATGGTCGACAATACTGATGAGCAATTGCCCACCGTCTTGTCAGCGCAATCTGTGGAACGTCCACAAAACTGTCTGGTGACAGACATTTGCGCGGAGGTAAAGCTAAGACTGTAACCCAGGCATTGTATGTGCCAAGTTGATCCAGACAATGCGACCGATGACAACGAATCTGTAGCTCTGTATTTGCCTAAAGGGTGGCTCGGCTCACGTCTCGTGCCATTGCTCGAGATCAAGCGTGCTGCGCGATCCTGCTAATAGCAGGCAATAATTGCTGAACTAGCCATGACCGGTAGCATCATCGCTCGTCATGTATGCAAAGTTGCAAGCATAGCTGAATGAAGTTGATGCATTTACGACTGCTTGTTCTCCGCCTCGGAAATCAGCGTCTCCATCTCCTGCTCGGTCCATCGGTGGAAAAGTTTCTTCGGATCGGAGAGAGTCGCATCTCCCTTCACAGTCTGCACATGCAGAACTGGAACGTCAAAGTCGTAGACATCCTTCCAAGGCTTGTTGGTGGGAAGAGCAATGTCCGTCTCGGTATACTCGAAGGGACGTCGCTTGTGCAATTGAGTCACAGTATGTTTGGCTGTGTCGCAGAGCCCGCAGCCAGCACGGGTGAAGAGAGTGACGCGCACAGCGTTGGAGAGACGAATGGCAGTGGGAAACATGATTGACGCACAGCTACCAGGAATCGCACCGCGAAAGTTGAAGAAGAGAAGTATACGGAGGAGAAGCGGGAGCGGACAACGCAACGGGCGGAAGTTGGGGATGAACAATGGAACCTTCGAGCTCCCCCAGCTAAGCCTATTTGGGCCAGCCCTCCAGCTGCGGTTCTGCGCGCTTCGATGCGACAAACTCGCATTTCTCTTCACGGTGAGGGAAATCAGTCTTATTTCTCCCATCCCAAAGACAAGGCAGCCGGTGCTCTCTCAGTCTCCCCGTTCCATACTCTCATTCATAACCATGGCCTCCAAGTGTGTCCACAAGGGCTGCGGGAAGGAGTTCACCGACCCCGAAGAGCCCTGCGTTTACCATCCCGGCCCGCCAGTGTTCCACGAAGGTCAAAAAGGTATGATCTCCAGGGACCTTGTGGAAGATTTTCGAACTTCCCTGGTTTGAGTCGTTCGTTATACTCCGGTCTTATACTTTTGAGGACCCGATCTCGACTCCCCCCGGCGCACCGCAGGACTAACCACTATCCAACAACCCAGGCTGGAAATGCTGCAAGCCCCGCGTTCTCACCTTCGATGAATTCCTCGCCATCCCCCCATGCACCACGGGCAAACACTCCACCGTCGACGATACCCCTCAGCCTGCCCCGCAACCGGTCGTCGAAGAGGCTCCTTTAGCCCCGGCCTCGACGCCGGTGGCGGAGCCTCCCCGCCATGCCATCTCGCCCGCCATTGCCCCTCCTTCCAATGCGCCTACTCCCGTTCCCGAAGAGCCCGAGTCCGACGACCCCGATCTCGAGATCCCGGCCAACGCCACCTGTCGCCGGAAGGGCTGCAATAAGGGATATGATTCCGCCGTGGCGCGCGAGGACGAGAAATGCGTGTTCCACCCCGGCGCACCCATCTTCCACGAGGGCAGCAAGGGCTGGTCCTGCTGTAAGAAGCGGGTGCTCGAGTTCGATGAGTTCTTGAAGATCCAGGGCTGCACGGAGAAGACGAAGCATCTGTTTGTTGGAAAGGGCAAGCCCCCGGGTGAGGAGAAGGTGGACACTGTCAGGTAAGTGATCGCTACCGTGCTACCCCAGGGCCGGAAGAGCTAGCTGCGTGACCGGAACTGCAGGGCTGACATGTTCCTTTTCCTTTGGTCTCTACAGAAACGACTTCTATCAGACGCCATCCTCCGTCAACGTCTCTCTCTACCTGAAGAAGATCGACAAAGAGAACGCAAAGGTCCAGTTCACCGCCACATCCTTGGAGTTGGATCTTCCTACGACGGACAACAAGCGGTACAAGGATACCTATCAGCTGTTCGCACCAATCGATGCCGAGAAGTCCCAGTTCCGTGTCATGGGGACGAAGCTGGAACTGACACTGGTCAAAGCGGACGGCACCAGCTGGCCGGTGTTGCGGAGCGACGATAAATGGACTGGAGAGCGCATCCAGGTCGGAAAGGCTGGCAGGGCTTGAGCACGTTGGGGGGCACGGCACGGATTATGAAAATATAATATACCATCACAGGCTAAGAGCCGATGAACCGACACATAATGGCATAAGAAAGTATATGTAGCATGGAAATGAAATGATTGCTTTGAGGAGACATGACAGCAAGGCACACACGAGATGCGTACTCGGTAGCTATGATGGTGTCAAGCGTACGTTCCGCAAGCCCAATGCGGAAGTGCAAAGACTCCAAAGAGACCATCCAAGCCGCCTATGGTGCCGAGAATACTCTGCTTTCCAAGCATACGATGCAGACATGCGACAATTACGTCGGACACCTCGCAACATGCAGCAAGGGGAATTTACAGTTACAGAACCTCAAGCACCAACATGAAAGTGCTCAAGGTTGGAATATCACGCCTCCTCCACAGCTTATGCGCATGGGGATCTATTCTTGCGAGCAGAAACCCTAGCTAAGCCATAGTTTGTAAGGGAAAAAGGAATGCGTATGTTGCTCTTCAAGGCCGGGAACGGAGGAGAGACCCATAGAGAAAAATCCCACACAAGGTAACCCTCAGCAAGCCGTACGGTGACGGAGCCCCGATAAGATTTACATAACATAAAGTAAGTAAACCGCTACTGATGATGAAGAAAAAAAGAAAGAAAAACCATCAAAGTCGCGGCGGGCAGCGGCGGGCTTATGTAGTCCACGGCGGTGGAGCCACTAACTGGAGTCGGGACTAGTGGATTACCGAGAAGAGTTGAGATTAGGGCTGGGGTTGAGAGCAAGCACGTGATGCATGCTTGACACAGAGCACGTGATCTGAGGTGGGCGGCAGAATCACATGCTAAATCTGCTTTGGTTGTTGAGAAGGCGAGACCCGAAGCGGCTTAGATCAGTTACAGCAATGCGCAACCTGCTGCTGTACGTGTACTTCAAATTACCTCACTTGTATCACTTCCTTCCTCAATGGTATTGGTGGTCATCTGAAGGGAAGGCCTGGGTTATATCTTGTCTCATACTCTGTTGCCTATTGTCGCGCAAGAACCAATTTGCCCCTCATCTTACTGCGTCATTGCACATGATCAAGGAGCAGTGGTTGGTCGCCTTTGGGCCTCAGGCTTGAAGCATCGAGTGGAAAAAAAAGGAGGGGCGTTCAGGGCCCGCCGCCAAAAACCAATCAGTGGCAAGCTGGGCACGAGACCAGCAACGCTCATCCACTTCAGTTCCCCTTCTCCTTCTTTTCTCTACCTCCAATCCTTAAACTCAACTACCCCCTTGTGGCCACTCTTTCTTCGGTCTTGCTGCATCTTCTCTTCCACCCGCACTTGCTCGCTTCCAGAGTATCAATTGCCGGCCAATTCGTACTCCTGACCCTTACGTGGGCTGGCAAGATCGTTCAACTAATCCACTCTACTCGGTATCAGGAGAAATTCCCCCAAGACCCGCTCTCCCGGGCTTGGCTGATTGGTACGGAAGTTCCTATATGTATCCCGGTGTTCCTATTCTCTGCTATAACATGAATACTTTACAAGACAAATCGCAACCCTTACAATCATCATCTACCGGACCTGGACTGACATGCGCTTTGAAGTCACATAGAATACTAATATTAGTAACCTTGCGGTCGACCTGTCGCATACGCCCCTGACCACTTTTCTTTCACTTTCACTACCTCGTTTTCTTATCCCCCTCGCTCCTTTTTCTTTTGAACTTTCCTCAATTGCCATGACTCTGTGCCAGCAGAACGGGACGGCCCTGCGCTATATCCCCCTATCCTATAACCATGCCGACTCTCACGCTTCCGCATTGCGGTTAATCCTCACCCTCAACCCTGATTGGGAGGGACCTGAAAACAAGATTGAATTCGTGCGGTTCACGGACGGCATCACCAATACGGTGTGTTTCTCGCAAAACCATGCTCTCGCAGATGCGACGGGGCCTGAAATAATCCACGTTGAGGGCCATGGACTAACATGAGGGTCTAGCTTCTTAAAATCATCAACCGCAAACCCGGTTTGACCGAGGAGCAGATAGATCACGATGCAGTACTGATGAGAGCGTACGGTAACCACACAGAGATTCTTATAGACCGCGAAAGTATGCTACACCGGGGAAAGGGGACTACTCCAGAAGCGACCCCCCTTTCTCTTCTTCCCTTCTTGCCCATTGCGACACCTTTGCTGAGTAGAATTTCGAATCTATAGGAGAAACGAGCTCCCACGCGCTCCTCGCTAGTTATGGCCTCGCTCCTCCGCTTTTGGCACGCTTCAAGAACGGCCTTCTGTATCGTTTCCTCCGTGGTCGGCCGGCTACCCATGAGGATCTAGCGACGCCTCCAGTTTGGCGCGGTGTTGCTAGACGCCTCGCGCAGTGGCATGCCGTCCTGCCCGTCGGTGGGACTCCTGCAACCTCGAAGGAATCCGAGAACGTACCCCTCACGCGACAAGTAGACGTCGACTCAGAAGACCATCAGCAACAGTCCAAGCAGGAAGGTAGCTTGTCC